TCTTTCCCAGTTAACAACCTCCACCTGTCGTGGGCTCCGCAGTCCTTTGGCCAGCCCCATTTAGGGTACCTGCTCCTCTCCTTTCTCATCCTCCTTGACTCCCAGGCCCTTGAAATGCCTCCCCAACGCCTCAAATTTCTAAGCCTCTATTGTTGAAGGGCTACCCCATGACTTAATCTGGTGTTAGGGAGGAAGATGGAACAGGGATGCCAGTGCCCCTGGCTTCACCCCTGCCCCTTCCTGGTCTGCCTCCTTCCTTATAGATGGAGTGCCTGAAACTGATCGCCTCCCCCAGATTCATAGACAAGAGGGTGGGCTACCTGGGGGCCATGCTCCTACTGGATGAGAGGCATGATGCCCACCTGCTCATTACCAACAGCATCAAGAAGTGAGAGTTCTGGGATGTCCTTGGAATCTGGGAGATGGGAGAATGGGGAAACTGGGAAATCCCAGGGGCCTGCCGCTGTAGGCCCTGGGAAGGACTGGTTTCCTCAGAGCTTGACTGGCCATCCCCCAACCCTGCAGCGACCTGAGCCAGGGCACTCAGCCAGTGCAAGGCCTGGCCCTGTGCACCCTGAGCACCATGGGCTCTGCTGAGATGTGCCGGGACCTGGCCCCGGAGGTGGAGAAACTGCTCCTGCACCCCAGCCCCTATGTGCGAAAGAAGGTGAGCTGGCAGGACTCCGGATGCCTGCCCCTTCAAAAACTGGCCCCTGTCAGGAACCAGCAGTTAGTGTAATAGCTATGTCGCTGGACTCCCACGTAGTCGACCGCGGTTCGTGTCCCGGACCCGGTGGCTTAAAACTCACGCCGGGTGCGTGTGCGTGCGTGCCCAAGATCCCGAGAGGAGAATGGAGGAGAAGGGATTGCGGCGTGACCATCCCCCCTGGGGGGTGATTTCTCGCTTTCTGTCTCTATGTCTCTCTCTGTCTGTCTGGCGAGCGCACGCGCCCTACAGTGAAAATCTCTCAAAAAAAACCAAAAAACAAAAAACTGGCCCCTGTCTGCCATGCAGTAGAGGTGAGGGGTTTCATCTTCACGGACCCTTGCCTATCTGAGGCCCTCTGCAGGCTGTTCTGACCGCAGTGCACATGATCCGGAAGGTCCCCGAGCTGTCCAGCATCTTCCTCCCATCCTGTGCCCAACTGCTTCACGAACGCCACCATGGTAAGGCCACAGGGCTCCCTGTCCTCTGCTTCAGCTCAGGCTAGGAAAAACGAGGTGGGAATACCTGTCCTAAGAGAAGGGCAGCACACACACACGCACACATACGGTCATGCACATACACACACACGGTCAACTCCCTCGCCCCTGCCCGCCATTCACCTCCCCACCCTGACCCCAGGCACCCTGCTGGGCACTGTCACGCTGATCACGGAGCTCTGCGAAGGAAGCCCTGCAGCCCTAAGGCACTTTCAAAAGGTGGGCTGGAGAAGGGGCAGGCCCCGGGCCTGGGAAAGAGGGGCCACGGGGAAGGAGTGGAGCTTAAGTTTGAGAAGATGAGAGAATGCCCCGGCAAGTCTGTGCCCCCCTCCAGGTGGTACCCCAGCTGGTGCAGATCCTGCGGACTCTGGTGACAACGGGCTACTCCACAGAGCACAGCATTTCTGGGGTCAGCAACCCCTTCCTGCAGGTAGGCTGACGTGGGGCCGCTGTTGTAACCCTGAGCAGAGAAGGCAGCAGGAGCAGGCAGCCTATGCCACCGGTCACCTGCCAGGATATACTGGCTCAGTCAGTGTCCTGGATGGGGGTGGGGGGGTGACAGGCACAGGATTGCCCAGGGTGTCCCAGGACCAGTGTGGGGAGATGGGACACCTGGAGGTCAGAAAGGCTGTTTTGGTAACAGTTTCTTAAAAGCCTGCCTTAAACTCCTGGGGCCTCGCACTGCTCTGATCCCTCCCAGGGCTCAAGGGGCCTGTGAAGGTGAGAGGGAGGGATGGGGAGGCTGTAAGGAGCATCAGACCCCCCCACGCTGCTCCCCTCTCCTCAGCCCCACGACTTCAAATCCTATGAACCCTTCCACCTTTCAACCTGTAACCCAACCTCAGGTTCGGATACTTCGCCTGCTTCGGATTCTGGGCCGGAACCACGAAGAGAGCAGTGAGGCCATGAATGACTTGCTGGCCCAGGTGGGGTCTGGGGAGGGCACAGGTTAGGTGGACTTGCCTCGTCTGTGCCCCACCCAGGCACACACCCACGTGCGGGGGTTCAGGGAGCCCCATTGGATAGTTGAGGGATGGACCGATGACAAGGCAGAGAGCTGAGAAGAGGACAGAGCCCTCATGCACCTGTGTCTCCTGTCCTAACCACTAGGTGGCTACTAACACGGACACCAGCCGGAATGCGGGCAGTGCAGTTCTCTTTGAGACAGTGCTCACCATCATGGACATCCGCTCTGCAGCTGGCCTGCGGGTATTACCCCACATCTTCTCCCTCTGTGCCCCCACCCCACCAGCCAGAAGACGAGCCCTGCTCAACTGGCTTCTCCCTCTACCCCCATCATCCCCTGCCATCCGGTCCCCACTCCAGGTGGTTCCTTCCCCGTCCCCAACCTCTGTCTCCCATAGGTTCTAGCTGTCAATATTCTTGGCCGCTTCCTGCTCAACAGTGATAAGAACATTAGGTAATAGTCCCAGATGCCCAGCTAGGCTATGCCCCTGAGCCCCTGGCCCTCTGCCTCCCGTCATCCAGAGCCTCCTGACCCCTACCTCTAACCCGTGTACCCAGAGCAGAGGGTGGGGACTGACAGCCAGGCTGTGACAGGGCCCTCCCACCTGGACAGGTATGTGGCCCTGACGTCCTTGCTGCGGCTGGTGCAGTCTGACCACAGCGCCGTGCAGCGGCACCGGCCCACGGTGGTGGAATGTCTTTGGGAAACGGATGCCTCCCTCAGCCGGTGAGCCGAGATGGAAGGCAGGGCAGAGGGCCAGCGCCTGGCGACTAAGGCCCAGTATAGCTCAGAGAAGCTGGAGTAGAGGACTAAGGACAGGGGCCAGGGAAGGGTAGGCTTAAGGCAAGGAGCAGGGTGGCCTGGGCTCCTGCAGACACCTGTCCTCCTCCTGCCAGGCGGGCCCTGGAGCTGAGCCTGGCCCTGGTGAATGGCTCCAACGTGCGAGCCATGACCCAGGAGCTGCAGGCCTTTCTGGAGTCCTGCTCCCCTGACCTGCGGGCTGACTGTGCCTCAGGCATCCTACTGGCTGCAGAGAGGTGAGGCCACAGCTGCCCGGGAGGCAGAGGGTAGAATCTGGGAGTGTCAGTACCCGGACTGAGGAGTCACATGTCCCCTAGGTTTGCTCCAACCAAGCGATGGCACATAGACACCATCCTGCACGTGCTGACAACGGTGAGGCTGGGGCTGGACAGAGCAGGGCCGAGTGGGCTGGGCGCACACTGACCTGGCCGTGTCACCACCCCCCCACAAGGCGGGCACCCATGTGCGGGATGACGCGGTAGCCAACCTGACCCAGCTCATTGGGGGAGCCCAGGAGCTGCACGCCTACTCCGTGCGCCGCCTGTACAGTGCCCTGGCAGAGGATATCTCCCAGGTACCGCTCCCACCTGCTCAGCTCCAGGGCTGCCAACCTCTTCCCAGCCCTTCCTGGGCCATCTCCATACTCGGGGTTCCTAACTACTCTTCCCTCAAGGTCACAGCCCTCTGCTTAGAGCCCTGTTTTTTAGTTACACCTGGGGGTTCCTACTAGCTGTAGCCACAGATGACAAAGTGAGTTGACCTTCATGTTCCAGGGACTCAGCTTTCAACCCTACCTACCTTCCCTGAAGTGAGGGAGAGATGATCTTTCTGCATGTGTTGGGTTTTATTACCTTGAATGCTGAGTGGATTAACAGAAGCCGGCCAATAACTATAGCTCCCTTTTTCATCTCAGATTAAGTAGGGTGGGCAAAAACTATCCACCCTTTCCACAAAGGCCCATCCTATGATTAGGCCTTATAGTTCCAATGCTTGGCCACCAGAGGGCAGTAGGAACCCAGGCATCAGGACAGAGCCAGGTAAACTTCCCTCTCCTGGCCTTTCTCACCCCCAGTCTGCACTGTCCAAAGGGATGTCACAGGGTCTGGAGGTCAGGAGGGGACCCCAGACACTGTCCCAATGATGTTTCTTATTCCATGCAGCAACCTCTGGTGCAGGTGGCGGCCTGGTGCATCGGGGAGTATGGGGACCTCCTGCTGGAAGGCAACTGTGAGGACATTGAGCCCCTTCAGGTGAGAGCCACGGCGGGGGTATGCTGAAGGACTCGGACTCAGGCAGGCAGGGCTGGCCCCGGGATCACTCCTGTGTGCACACCTGAAGGTGGAAGAAGAGGAGGTGCTGGCACTGCTGGAAAAGGTGCTGCAGTCCCATATGTCCCTCCCGGCCACCCGAGGGTATGCCCTCACAGCCCTCATGAAGCTCAGCACCCGGTTCCATGGAGATAACAAGTAAGACAGGAGATGTCGCTTCGCTGTGCCCACCAGTTTCTGAGCTTCTCCGGGCACTCCCCCTACACCCCCGAGTCCTAGGTTCTTGCTTTGGAGCCAAATACCTGGGGTATGTCCTTGCTTCAGGGCCTCCCCCTGCCCTGCTTCAGCCCGGTGTGGGGTGGGGCACATGCCATTGCCACTCACAGCACACCGGCTCAGCCGCATCCGCCAGGTGGTGTCCATCTACGGGAGCTGCCTGGACGTGGAGCTGCAGCAGCGGGCCGTGGAGTATGACACACTCTTCCGGAAGTACGACCACATGAGGTGCGTCTGGCACTCCACTGCAGCGTAGGACCAGCCTCTGTCCTGCTTCAAATGCCCCTTTCTAGGTATAAGGGTCTCATCCTCCCATGGGTCCTTCACCTATGGGGAGAGCCTCCCTAGCACACTTAGGTGGAGCTAAACTGACTGCCCTCTTCCTCGCTCATCTGAAAGCCAGCAACAGCTGCCCTCTTGGGAAATCAGAAAGGCTCTCGGGCCCTTGTGTCCAGGGTGCTCTGTGTCCTCAGCCCTCAGCCCCCTTGCCTGTCGTGGAAAGCCCAGGGCCCACACAGAGGGACTCACCTGCATTCCATCCTCAGGGCAGCCATCCTTGAAAAGATGCCTCTCATGGAGCGAGGTGATTATCAGGTTGACGAAGAAGCAAAGCAAAGCAAAGCAGCGGCCCAGCTTTCAGAAGCAGCCCCCGTGCCCACAGAGCCCCAGGTGAGCAGCCTGGAAGCCGAGGAGGAGGACCTGGGTGGGCTTCCATACCCAGCCCTGCCCTCTGCTCTTTGCCCCAGGCCTCCAAGCTCTTGGATCTGCTAGATCTCCTGGACAGCCCTTCTGGGGATGCCCAGCACCCTCCGCCCCTGGATCCTGCCCCAGGAGGCACCTTAGTACACCTCCTGGACCTTCCCTGTGCCCCTCCAGCCCCAGGTAAGCCTCAGCAAGGGGAGAGGTGGGGGAAACGTGCCACTCCTGAGCCCAGGACTGCGGCTCCCATGCCCTCTTCCCCTCCTGTGTGCCCCACAGCCCATCCCATCTTGGTAGGTAAGAGCATTCAGTCCACAGTGCCCGTCCCTTCCTGGCCACCCTCCTCCTGGCCACCCTTCAGTGCCTTCTGTTTATCTGAGTCCTCACTCTGGGTTGCAGGGCTCTGCTTCCTCCCCAGCCCGGCTCATAGCATTTTCCACTGCCCACTCCATGGCTCCCTCAGCCCAGCGCTGACGTTTCTTGTTTCTACACAAAATGTTCTTTCTCCCCACACATCAAAGGACAGTCTGGTCCTCACTCTCTGGGCTTCAGCTAGAATGTCAGAGGGCTCCCTCTACTGCCCTAGTGGAGTTGGGATTCCCATTACTCTGACAGCACTTTTTTTTTTTTTTTTTTTGGAGAGGTTTTCACTATAGGGCGCGTGCGCTCACCAGACAGACAGAGACATAGAGACAGAAAGCGAGAAATCACCCCCCCAGGGGGGATGGTCACGCCACAATCCCTTCTCCTCCATTCTCTTCTCGGGATCTTGGGCATGCACGCACACGCGCCCGGCGTGAGTTTTAAGCCACCGGGTCCGGGACACGAACCGCGGTCAACTACGTGGGAGTCCAGCAACATAGCCATTATGCTAACTGCTGGTTCCCAACAGCACTTCCTTCATAGCACCTGTTAGTCTGTGGCCACCTCATTTTGCTTACTGTTTCTCTCCCTGCACCAGACTGTGAGCAGCAACCTCATCTTCTTGTCTACTTCATCACTAGCATTTTAAATTTTTGTTTAAGGTTTTTGCCATAGCGCATGTGTGCTCACTGGGGGGGGTAGGGGATATAAGAAATCACCCACACACACAAGGGAGGTGGCATGCCATTATCCCTTCTCCATTCTCCTCTTTGGGTTCTGGGTGTGCATGCACATAAACCCAGCATGATTTTCAAGCTGCTGGGTCTGGGACTCAAACCAGTCAGCCATGTGGGAATCTAGCACCTTAATCACTACACCATCTGCAGGCCCCGGCATTTTAAGTTTTATTTATTTCTTCCATGAGTGAGAGACACACCACCGCTGAGTTGATACCACACCTACCCCCAGCTTTTAGCCCCCCCAGTTCACAGGCATGCACATGCCCAGCGTACTCAAGGTTCCTGACTTCAACCTTTTTTACCATGGCACCATGGTCTAGCTCCTTGTCACTAGCAATTTTTTTTCTGAGAGAGAGATTTTTTACTATAGAGCATATATGCATTTGCCAGAGAAACAGAGAAAGACAGAAAGTGAGAAATCACCCCTAGAAAGGATAGCCATATCACAACCCCTTCTTCTCCAGGCTCCTCTCAGGATTTTGGACACGCATGCACACGCGCCTGGCATGAGTTTTAAGCTACCAGGTCCAGACTAGAACCACAGTCGACTACGTGGGAGTCCAGTGACATAACCATTACGCCATCTGCTGATCCCACTTATTTTTTTAAATTGTTATTTATTTGTTATTGTTATTTTTTTTTTTAATTTGACCAGAGAGAAAGGGAAAGTGAGAAAGCAAGCTACCACGTATGAGACTTGAACCAAGGTTGGCCATGTGGAAGTCCAGCACCTTAACCATCATGCTGCCTGCTGGCCCCATCACTAGCATCTTGAAGAGTGCAGGGCCCCAGGTGTCACTCAGTTTTTGTTGAACAAATGAATGAACATGTCACCTAGAGCCTGTACACTGAGTGGCCTCTCTTCTGTCCTCTAGCTCCCATTCCAGATCTCAAAGTGTTTGAACGTGAGGGATTACAACTGAATCTGTCTTTCACACGACCCCCTGGGTCCCCTGCTCTGCTCTTAATCACTGTCACCACCACCAACTTCTCAGAGGGTGATGTCACCCACTTCATCTGCCAGGCCGCTGTACCCAAGGTTTGTAAAGGTCAGGGTTCAGGGGTGGCCTAGGCACTCCCAGAGAAAAGGCCACTAAGTCGAGGTGGGTGGGAGACAGGATGACAAGGGGCAGGAGTGACATGCACAGACAGCTCTTGGGGATTAAAGGGACTGGAGGAAGCTGTCTCACTGCTCTGCCCAAACCTCCCATGTTCAGAGTTTCCAGCTGCAGCTGCAGGCCCCCAGTGGGGACACGGCTCTGGCTCGCGGTGGCCTTCCCATCACCCAGCTCTTCAGAATCCTCAGTCCTAACAAGGTGAGCTCTGGGAGCTCCCCCTGCCCACCTCCGTGGACAAGACCCAGGGGCAGAAGTCTTAGGCGCTAACCCTCGCCTCTGCTCTGTTCCTAGGCCCCCCTGCGGCTAAAGCTGCGCCTCACCTACACACACTTTGGCCAGTCGGTGCAGGAGATCTTTGAGGTGAATAACTTGCCTGTGGAGACATGGCAGTAACTGTCTCCGCTCTACGTGAAACCATCCGGTGTCCAGGACTCCAGGCCCCAGCAGCTTGGAACCTGTGCCCGAGGGCTGCCAGCAGGTGGTGCTCTGGCCCTGCCTTTGCCACTGCACCAACTCCAAGCTAGCTGGCCGGTCCCACAAAAATGCAGCCCAATAAAGCCTGAGGGAGGAGGAAAGCCCTATTTCGGTGTATCTGAGGTAGAAAATGTGTATGAGTAACAGTCAGGGGAGAGCCTTCTTAAACAGAAAGTAGAAATCTTGGGAACCTGTCTCAACAAGGAGGGTTTTCTTCCTCCCCCTCCCCAGGTCAGGGAGCAAATCTGCCCTGAACTTCCACAGGGAGCACTCTTCCCACAGGGCCAGAGGTGGCAAAATCAAGCCAGAGTTTGAGATTTCTATCAGGGATTTGCGACCATTTCCCAACCTGCCGCTATTCCCCACACCCCAAGCCGGGGAAATCCCTGCTGCCTCCCGCATCTCTAACTCAGCTGTAAGGCGGTTTAGGAGCCGCTGGCAGAATCAATGGCATCGACCAAGGGAGGGGGGTGGCAAGGGATTTTCCTGTGCTTAACTACTGATCACGGCTAAGTGGAAATCCTATAAACACGAGCGGAAATCAATGGAGGCTGCTTAGCGGCCAGGGGAGAGGGGCGGCCCACAGATTGCATCTGACGGATGAGGGAGAGGAGGCAGCCAGGGAGGGCTCGGAGAAGGGTAGCGGAGCTGAGAGTAGAGGGCGGAGGACGGGCAGAGCGGGAGAGGGAGGAGTCACTGTTGGAAGAGAAGCCAAGGAAATGAGTCACAGGGCATCCAGGGGTGGCCCCCATTAGACCCAGAGGCCCCTTCCCCTTCTAGGAAGTGGCACCCCTAGCCCAGGTCACTGTCAGGATGGTTAGTCCCCGGTGGGCTCTCTGGAGCTGTTCACTCCTTGCAGGCGCTGATAGTCATGAGGCCGGAAGCGCTGCAGGTACACAATTAGCTTGGCTGGTGCCGTCTCCTGTGCAGGCACACCTATAGGCAAAAAAAAAAAACAATGAGGAGAGAGGCAGACAGAACCTCAAACACTTTGACTGTTCCCTGCACACCCAGCCAGGACCCCCAAAGTTCTTTCCAAGTCAGCACTGAGGTTCTGCATGCTGTCCAGCCAGCTTCTATGGCCCGCCTGCCCGCTCCCTACTGGCCTATGGAACTGGAGCCTAAAAGGGCCACTTCAGGCAGGAGTTGGGGCTCGGAAGCCATGCATGAGCCTCTCGCCTCTCCTCCAAGGGAAAATGGCAAAGAGGATGCCTCAGTATCTTCTGACTCCCTTCTGTTATTTCTTCTATCCCCCAGTCAAGATTAAAGCTCATCTAGGCAGGCCAAAGCTCGTTAGCCTGGTAATGAGGCACATGCAGAGCTGAACGCAGACAGACCAAAGGCTACAAAAAGAAGACGAGAGAAGCTACAGCCATGGCAGGGAGGTGGGGGGAACAGGTTCACATAGCCGCGACTACTCTTCATGGTACGGACCTGCCTTTTGCCAGCAACTGCCGTGTGCCTGGCAGCATGCCGTGCAGATGGCGGGGAGCTCTGTGCATGTTTGCTGAGGAGGCTCAACAGGCCAGGGGTGTAAGCGCCCCTGGGATGCATGACTCCGTACTTGTATGGATGAGCTGTCTACAGGGAACTCAGCCTGGGGTCAGAAAAGCGAATCTGCCAAAGCTTACCCCGCCGCCTCATATCAATACAGTGTGCAGGCCGTTCACTCAAAGCCAACAGGATGCGTTCAGTGAAAACGATATGGGGCCAGCAGATGGCGTAGTGGTTAAGGCTTGAGTCCCACGTGGCCAACCCATGTGAGCCCGGACCTGGCAGCTTGAAAAACTACAAAGGGCACAAGTTATGTGCCTGAAATCCCAGGAAGAGAATGGAGGAGGTATTGGATCATGGCCCTCCCCCCAGGGAATGATTTCTCACTTTCCCTCTCTGTCTCTGTCTCTCCAGCAAATGCACATGCCCTATGTCAAAAATCTAAAAATTAAAAAGATAAAGGACAGGGGACCAGCAGGTGGCATGGCATGATGGTTAAGGCGCTGAACACTTCCACATGGCCAATCACAGTTTGAGTCCCAGACCTGGTGGCTTGCTTTCTCACTTTCTCTGTCTCGCTCTGGTCAAATTAAAAAAAAAAGAATAAAATCAATTCTTTTTTTTTGGGGGGGGGAGATTTTCATTATAGGGCACGTGCACTCGCCAGACAGACAAGAGAGAGACATAGAGACAGAAAGCGAGAAATCACCCCCCAGGGGGGATGGTCACGCCGCAATCCCTTCTCCTCCATTCTCCTCTC